AGGAGCTTTATGAGGTGGAAAGACAGCGTAAAGCGCAACTGGACGAAGAACTAAAAGAAGCTCGTAGACGTTTGGATGCTGACATGGAACTGGCCTATCAAGACTATCAAACGCAAATGCTTCGTGAAGGCAAGATTTATAAATGATTCTTTTGATACGACTTACTTCAGCATTTTCACACACTCACTCCATTCATTGAGGAGTTGGTGTGAAACATTTCAATGTATACGACGGGGTTTGCTTCGATTTTTTGCCTCATATTGCAGTTGATGATAAATCATATAGTTAGGTATGTATGTATGCTGTATATGTATTTTCTAACAAGTGAATTTACGACGACTAGTGGCACCAGAAGGAATTAGAACTGAATTGTTTTGTTTTTTTTGTCTGGAGGAAACGGTTCAGTTCAATTTATATCATCAATATGTCGTCATACGTTGTCATATCATTGCCTTAGCGTAAACATATTGCGGGACAATTTTGAATACATCTGGAAATGCGTATCTCTCATTTATTGTGGCATTATTGTCGGGATGAAAGTAGTGAATTGGATTTGATATCGAAACGAAAAGGTTCCTTTGAATGCGTGACAAATATGACTGATTGCTTGTCAGTTTTGCATCTCTTTGAATGATCTGCATTGTTTTGGTTTGGTTTGATGAGAGGGACAGTTGCGATTGTATGAGGTTGAAATCGTGATGAGGCTCTAACCTCATAATTGGCAGTCGTTCGCAGTTATTCGACCTTCATTGCTTTCTAGCGCAGATACATTCCTTCCGATCTCAAAAACAACGGCTTCATGCACTAAATGTGGTCAACGTGAAATCGCATTGAAATTTCATGCTCGCAGAATATCTGAAAACTTTTATCAAGTTGTTAGTAATCAAGGATTCTCGTGATTGTAATGACCGATGTTGATGTTTCGAATATTTAATTGTGTTCATCATAAAACTGAATTGTGAACTAATTTGATGGAACACAGTGGTGATCTTAATCGATCGAAGTGTCCTTGATCAAGCTGGATCACCAATCGAGAGTTGTAGTCAGAAGTTACAGTGCTAGTATGAAAGTAATTATGTGCATGCGCATATGGTCCAGTTGATGAAATCACTATGAGAAGAATGCGATGCTGCTCTGCAGCTTTTTTTNAAATTGTGTGTTGCAAAATGATATTGAATGTGATGGATTTTTAGATTTGGCCAGAAGACAACAGGAGCTGGAACGTTTGGAGGAAGCGAAACGTCAACGTATGGCACAGGTTGCGGCACGACGTGGTGAGCTACCCACTTCGATAATTGGTAATGCACCGCCGCCACAATCAGTCGGCGGCCCTCCACCGGGTCAAGTCAACTCGGGTAGTGGTGTACCACCACCACCTCCTTCTCGTGGTGAATTCTTCGGTGCGGGAGGTACCACTCCCAGAGGTGCGCCTCCACCTCCTAGTCATCATCGTTATACTACTACTAATTCATTTGGCTAATTCCTTCCTGTCCTTGTTCCCGATAAATTGCGACGATTGATTATTTTGTTGTTTCGATTTGACTCGCTTCGCTCACTTCTTTCCTATGCGTTTATGGAGGCACGATTGTTTTGAGTGATCTAACGTCGGTTGGTTTACTCGAGGGTTGACTGGGCATAGGACATAGGTAGTAGTGATATTAGTGGCGATTTTTATCGTATCGCTGAATGTTAGCGATGTTATTGCTAAGGTCTATTTTAGGGAGGTTGCATTACTAAATGAGGTTTTTTTTT